AAATAAAATAAAATAAAATAAAATAAAATAAAATAAAATAAAATAAAATAAAATAAAATAAAATAAAATAAAATGAAATAAAATAAAATAAAATAAAATAAAATAAATCATAAAATAAAATATATCATAAAATAAAATATATCATACATGTAGTCTGATAAGCCCATGAGACGTGATGAATTAAATTTTCACTGGACCTTTTCTAGTAGTTTTATCACAAGAAGAAACATCATATATACCCCAAGTCTACTCATTTCAAATACACCGACCTCGAAACTGAAACGTTTATGTAATAAAAGCAAAAACTATTAACACAACTTCCTTATCTGCGGCAGTTTTTATTCACGTTTGATGCACAGCTGATTTTGAAAATGTTGTCCAACTCAAAAGACCTTTTTCAATGTTGAAATTGTCACGTGTCTTGATACTTGATATATAGTTACGACTGCACACGGAACATTCTCTAATGTCCATGTTGGAGTTCTAAAAATGCCTTGTCATTTCTCCACACACACCTGACATTTTAGGCCATTTTAAACTGTCATTAAGTGAATATTTTCAAATTTACATGGCGACTGGAGCATTGGAAGTGTCTTATTAAGTGACAATCATTTCAAGATTGGCTGTATGCATGTATTTAGTTTTGTAAATTATAGTTCTAGAGCGGAGGCGCGTTATCCCGTGAAACAATATTACTTAATACTAGTAAATAGTGACTGTTGATTTATAGACAATAGGACACAAACGAATGTGGATCATAATTGCAGATACATCAACCCTAAACATAGAGAAAAACAACAATGTGTGTGCGCAATAATACAAAAGAAAAACCGCGCTAAAATCAAGCTTTTAAAAATAGCTCGATGTCGAGTAGAATTCAGCTATTGTCTCTCTGGAAACAAAGTGTTCTTCACTCCAGTTAATACTATATCCGGTCAGAAGTTATCAGTGTTAGAGCGCTCTTTTGTATTTTTGAGCGCATACATTGTTGTTTTTGTCTTTGGCTGTCACTCTTAAGATACCCGCTTGGGGCAAAAGCTCGGGCTAAGAAAATAACATTTTCAAGGTTGCCCATCTGAGTCTGCAATTATGAGTCTAAATCCAACCTAAAAAAACATCTCTTCGATTAAATTTAGTGGTATTATGTACTATTTAAGTTTCACGGATTTATTGCGTTGGATTTAGCTGCGAGTTTCAAACCCATCGCCAGGCCATACATGTAGAAATTAATACATAGCTTTGAAGTACAATAAAGGGAAAATTATCTACAACGATATAAAATAATTGTGGAAGAATTCAAACGTACTAACGTCAATTTCATTTAAGAACAAATAAGGAAACAAGCCTTCGATTGACTTCGATTTCGATATCATTGTTATCTTAAGCGTATTTTCTAAGAAAAAGAATAGAAAAAAGTCTTATCGAAAACTGTTGAAACCGTTTGTTATCGAGAACATAGTTGATTATTTCTAAATAATGAAAAAGTTTTGTTCATATTTACTAAAGAAAGCGGATCTTTACCTTATTTTGGAGGACATGTTCGTCGAAGTTTGTATGTCGAAAGCCTTTTAGATTGTGTTATAGTGACCTCTGGGATTCAAAGAAAAGTAATCAAGGGAGGGACCATAACATTCTTTTACGAGAGGATGGGAGAGTAGCAGGGAAGTCCACAGTGGTTTACTGGGGGAGGGGAGGGGGAAGCTTTTATTTTGTGGCTTCAAGAATGTAAAGAGGACGATTGCCTGCAAAATTACAAGATGACTATTTTGGATTTACGAACGAACAAACTGTTCGACTATCCGATATCAAATACTTCGTCTGCCAAGAAAGGGGGGTTCTGGAGAACCCTCTCGAATGTGAATGGAGTAAGGGTCCTTTGTGCAGGTGTGAGAATTTATTTTCACGATGCTTGCATGATTGCTTCTAGGGAGAATTTTGCGTTGTACGTTTTTTTGCCTTTCAAACTTTGTTCAGTTATTGCTTTCGCAGATGAGCAGAAAAAGACGAATTATAATCCACAATTTAGAATGGTGTACTGCTCACAACTGAGCAAAAGACAGTCTGGTGTCAAAGAGCATAATTTTTAATTTCCAAAGAACATTTTTTATTAGAATTTTTAATTATTTAAACACATCCTATAGCAATATCTCTGTACACTTAAGACATTTTCAAGAAAATCAACCTTTCTGTGTATATATATATATTAATATTTGTAATAAATCATAAGTAATAATTATAGAATTTTGATAATTTCCACAAAACAAATGAAAATATACAAGTATAAGACACGCAATGTTATTATCAAAACAAACCGACAATTTAGTTCAAAAAAACTAATTATGAATGGCAACTATGCATAATGAATTTACAAAAGAGCGCGAATAACTCCCGCTGAAGTTATCCATATATTAACTATCAATATTTACCTAAAGAGCTTGAAAGAGAACATATTTACATACTTAATATTGAAAAAATGACTATGTTCAAAAATACAGCCGAATGCTAATAATAATAATGCAAGAAAAATGCGCTTAATTCTTCTGTATCGCTGTAAAATGCGTTTTTTCGACTTTAAATCATCGTATTTTATAAAAATGTCTATCTCATTTTCAGCTGTCTTTTTTTACAGTAAAGAGGAAATCCACTTCTAAAGGAGTCTGTCAGTATAGTCTGGACCTTGTTGGTTTTGTCTGGCCAACTGAAAGAAAATACGAAGTTTCCGGTAAGCGAACAACATTAGTACAAAAAGTAATAATCTATTTAATATATACAAGCATTAACTAAACAAACGCATAGTCGGCTCTCTAGGAAAGGACGAAAGGGAGAGAATTGAAAGGGGGAGGAAGGCTGAAGTGGTGGAAGAGGGAGGAAGCGGAAGAATGGGATTGAAAGGAGAGGTGAGAGGGATAATTCTTCCCTTCCTTGCGTATTCAAAATAAACAAATAATCAAACTTACCTTTACTGGCATTTGCCAATCTGTTTTGAAGGGATTCTAGTCTTTGTATGTACATTGATAAAGAATGATCACCATTTTCCACATGGAAGGGTTCGGTACTCGAGCTGGCTGGTGATGTGTTCCTGTGCTCATCATAACTACTCAATGGCCGTGGCGAAGAATGTCGGGATCGTGAAACCAACCCATCGTGTTCTCTTTCTTCAGAATCTGAATCCCGAACTGGAGGTGACATCGGAGGACGATATCGGCCCGTCGATGACCGAGGCGATGTCCGTAAAGTACTCGGAGAAGATCGGGAAGTTCTCGGTGGACTAGCGGTTCTAGTCGTTTTCGTTGTATAAGGTACTGTTGAATCACTTGCTAGTGAGACAGACGTTAATGGTTGTGTTCTACCTATCACATGAGGCTGTCTTCTATCGTCCCCATAACCGTTAGTTAATGGAATAGTAGTTAAAGGAATAGGAGTGACTTGTGCATTACTCACGAGGGGACCCCCCACGGGATCCCTCCGCGTGTCTAAAGACGCATTTCCAGGAAAAGAAGGTTCGATATTTCTTTTAGCATGTATAGGTTCATATATCGTTTGATTTGCTCTAGTTGTTGAGCCGGGGCTGTTTGATGGTCCGGTGTGTCTTCTACTTGATCCACTATGGTCATCTACTCCAGACACTCGTTTACTAACGCGTTTGGTCTTATTAACAAGGAATCGCATGCGCTCGATGGCAATAACCGCACGAACTGCCATTCTAAACCTCGAAAAACCTCGTGGATGTTTAGAGGGTTGATCGACTGGAAAAGCACCCATACGGGATATCATAGCCAAAGTTGTTTGTTCGCATTCTTGAAAACCTCCCAATAGAAGCAGAAGATATCTCTTTTGATAAACTAAGGCTTTTCGGAAACTCTCAGCGCGAACGTAACGGCTATACAGCTTTTGAATCTGAAATAGAAATTTTCTGTTTGTTATCGTTTCCCATTCTATGAAATACCATTTATACTTTTATTGACAATGAATTCATTCCATTAATTACCTTAGCTTGACTCCACGTTCCTTCTATTTGCTGACTTCCAGGTACTGTAGTGTCTGCAGTTCGCTTGTCAGCGAACTTTCGCACCTCGTCTCTGAGTCGACTCAGTTCAGCACGAGCCGCACTCAATGCGTTTTGATTCTTCTGTTTCTCCTGTTCCCACATGGTTCGTTCAGCGGCTAATACAGATTCAGCGTGGTCTTTAGCTTGTCTAGCCCCCTGCAAGGAATATATGAATGTGAATCAAAACTGAATTATAAATGATTTGGTACCAAGTTTTTTGATTCCAAGTTTACAGGAATTAGTCATTTCTTCTGAGACCTTTTTAAAGGATGTTCAAATAGGAACTTTGCAAGAGATCGGGAGATTTAACATTTTCAAAGCAATGCCTGACCTGTGTGATTTTTTTTTTACTCAAAACAAGTCGCATTTTTTTATCGAATTATTTTAATGTTCCTGCTTATTTTTTTCAAAAAATTCATTTTCAATAATTGAAGCTCATATTTTCTTGAAGTCGCCCAAGATTCAAAATTCCAATGAGATAGCTATACCTGTTCGCTTGTCTTTTCTTTTAATCTGTACTCCGACACTTGTTCCTCTAGGTTTCTCAGAGTTGTTAAGAGTTCTGTCTTTTCCTCGTTCACTTTAGCAATGTAGGTTACAAGCTCTGAGTTTTGCCTGATAGCACGTTCATAAGCAGCGGACTTGATGGGTGATAAAGGCACCGTCTCGTTGTCCTAAAATGAATGAATTATTAAATGAATGAGAAAAAAAGAAATAAGTACTAAAGAGAAAAACGATCGAATAAATAAATGAATGAATAATGAAAAAGAAATATAAAGTAAAGTCATTCAAACCCGTGAAACAAAATTCCGTGATTAAAAACACAATAGACATAAAAGGAAACAATACAATTAAAGCGAAATAAAAGTCGGTGAAATATATGTTATCATAGTGCTATCAAATAGTACTAATTACAAGTCAAAAGTGTCAATAAGATAATAGAAAACAAAGATTTTATATCACGTATTCTAATACATACATCGATGTGGACAGTCAGCGTTGCTCTGATTTGATCCAATTCCTTCAATAAGTTAGCTAATCCCTTCTGGATATVACTTAAAGGGAGGGTGCTTCTAAATAAAACATGTAACAACCGTTAAACTAGAGAAACAATAAAACATTATATATTATATATTAGTAACAACTAATAACTTTACCAACAGACCACTCAATCAAACAAAGCTAATTAACAATTATAAGATTTTCGATATATAACGCACGCTTTGATTGGCTGACGACCGTATTTATATCAGAGGACAGAGACACGGCTTACCGGAAAAATTTGCTTTTCGCTCGAGAAGCAAGAGAAACACTCGCTACGCTGGTGTTCCTAAGCTTGCTTCTCTCGTGTTTTTCGAACTCCCACCGCGTTTATATCAGAGGACAGAGACACGCGCGTCGTTTTATATTTCTTAAATAAAGACTAAGCAATAACCATCAAGACGAATCAAGAAGACCTTGAAATTCTTTTGAGCTGTTGTGATCATCCACTCGTAATTTACAACTAGGTAAAGCAAACATGAACGGATTTGATATCTTAAAGGACCACTACCTTGTTGTCTGGTCTTTAGTTCTTTGAACCTCTGCTTCATGTTTATTAATCAAGACTTGGTGTTGTTGTCTCATTGATTCTAACTGTTGTTGTAATAATAATAATCGTATGCGCATCGGGTATGTATTCGTTTCCTGGAAAAGACAGTGGTATACAGTATTAGACCTAAACTCATCGGGTAAGAAATCGCTTCCTGGAAAATACATTAATAGATAGCTTAAGAAGTATAAGCGTCAGGTATGTATTCGCTTCCTGGAATAGAGAGTGATATTTAGTATAGCCGTATATGTATCAGGCATGTAGATACTTCCTGGGAAAAGTTATTTCCAGACAAAAGAACTAAAAGTGTAATGATTAATTGATAATTTCACTCACTGATTCACTTTTATTCTTCATGTCTTGGTTTTCTTTTTCCATTTCAGACACTCTTTCCCTTTCTCTTGATAGTTTTAATTCCACACCAATCCGCTTGCTTCTCTCAGTTTCCAGTTCTTCACTTAATTGCTTCTCTCTTTCACGGTGAGTCATCGCAGTTACTTGCTGTTTATCGCGTTCGTTTTGCATTTTGCGCGCGCGTTGACGCTCAGCCTCGAGAGCACCAGTGAGTTCGACCAGTTGTTTCTGTATTGAAAGAAAAAATATATAAAAAAAGAATAACGGGAAATACAAAAAAATAGCGAATGAGAAAAATGATGAAAACAATGAAGAGAATAAAGGAAGGAAGACATACGTTTTTACTAAAGAAAGAAAAGAAGAATGAAAAAGTGAAAATCTGTCTCCCAATTTCAACATGCGTGCAGTGAATGGCGAGAAATAGTTCTCTTTCCGTTCATCGCTAGTAACGGCAATGGAAAACTTATATTCAAGCTTATTGAAAAGGGAAAAAAATCACCAATTACCTGGACCCCATTTAAAGCTTCTCTCAATTCCTTTGCTACGAGATTTTCGGTCTTTTTATCTCTTTCATCATCAAGAGCGTTGCTCAAGTCCAAGGCGTGAGTTCTTTCTAATGACAAGGCTTCTTGCAATCCTGACAAAAGACAATCATTATGAGGAGTTTGCTAGCACTAAACAACAACTAATCGACAACTAACCGACACTAAATCGACGCTAACCCGACAACTAACCGACACTAACCCGATAACTAACCGACACTAACTCGACACTAACCCGACAACCGACATTAACCCGACAACTAAACGACATTAACCCGACAACTAACCGACACTAACCCGACAACTAACCGACATTAACTCGACAAGCCTTCAAATCGTACCTTGAACCGTGTTTTCTAGTTCTCTGACTTTAGTTCTTTGATCAGGTCCTTGGGTGTCGAGTTTTTTCTGTAATTCATTCGATTTCTGTTGTTCACGATCGAGCAGATCGACTAAACTAGCATTTTTATCTCGTTCTTGCTTGAGTTCCACAAACATTTGCTCGATGACATCATTTTCTCTGACTAATTATGGAATAATATAAAAATTAGGAAGATGAGAAAGTGGGAATTAAGAAGAAATATAAAATAGGTGAAGAATGGAAGGAAATAAAGAAGGGAGGAAGAAAGGCAGGGAAAAAGGGAAGGGTAGGATGGGAGGTATGATAGGACGAAGAACAAAGGATTATAAAGAAAGCTAAGTTGAAATCCAGGAAATTATAGGCTTCTAGTTATGGGCGATAGCTAGGCGAAGGGAGGTGATGAGAAAGTGCGTCAAGCAAGAGAAAAGAGTCAAAGTAAAAATCACATGACGGTACCTTTAGCATCAGCCTTTAGCGATCGCTCTGTTTCCAACTCCGACTCTAAATTCGATGAGATAATCTTTTCTCGTTCCAACGCTACTTCAAGTTCGGTTTTTCTTTGAGACATGTCAGTCACCTGTTTACGTAGTTCATCATTGGCCTGTGCCTGTCGAAGCGACAGCTCTTTAGCGCGTCGACGTTCGGTCTCAAATGCATCTTGAAACTTCTTTGAGTTCACACGTTCGATTTCCAAGGCTTGAGTTAGGTTGGAAACGCGAACTCTTTCTGCATCGAGAGATGTTCTAGGGTACAATAGTAAGGATTAGTGAAACAACAGCAAAAATAGCAATAGAAAAACAAGGAAAAATAGCAACACCTTCGACAAACACAGAAAACATTAACAACATCAACAATAAAAAAATTAAAACTAACATATAACACAAAAATGTAACAGAAAAAATAACAACAACAACAACAACAACAACGGCACCAAGTGATGGGAAGGACAGTGAAGGTTCAAAGCTCTCTGATACGTGCATAAACAATACTATCAAGCCTATTAACCGTCCAATGAAATCGAGCCACTATGGCTACTCACTTCTCTGTGGATTTCTGTACTCGTTCTTTATCCAACACGCCTCGAAGATCAGCCACCTGGGCTTTTTCTGTAGCAAGCGCTTCTTTAAGCTCAGATATTTTGGACCGTTCTTGATTTAAGCTGTTTAAAAGGTCAGTCTTGTCGGCTTGTTCTGTGTCAACAGCAGACCGTAGAGCCTCTGCAATTGCCTTTTCTTGTTGGACTTGGTTGATTTTATTTTGTACTGTAATGAAAACAGTTGGTAGCTAAATATTATCATCATCATACCGGACAGACAGACAGAAAAACCTTACATTGTGATCTTAGTTCATCCTCACGCCTCTGAGCCTCTTCCCTGACAGAATCAAGTTCTTCATTGATTTGCTGAAGCTACAGATTTAAGAAGATGAGTGAATATCGAAAACACAATGTCAACAGAAGCAGTAGTACAAACCTGTGTAGCTGGAGCATCTTTTGCCACCGCCAATCGTTGTTTCAGTTCCTGTAGCTCACCCAAGAGAGACATACGATCTTTACTGAGCAATTCTTTCACGAAACTTTCATTGCGTTCATCCTAAAAAAGTAAAGCTTTCATTAAAGGAGGACCTCTCTTTAACCACTACCTCAACTAGTTGATTGATGTATAATCGACTTCGCATAACTACTAAGTATCATAGTAAGAGTTTTAAGGTGTTTCTACCTGTTTTCGTAGATGTTGTTCAATAGGTACAGCGATAGTTTCACCGGTCACCAGCTGTTGCGTGCGTAGTTCTGCTGACTGGACATCTTGGTCTTTCTCCATGACCTGTATTTGAACCATCGTGTCAATAAAGTCAATATAGGTCATAACATAACTATTATAGAACGTGTGCTATGATTGGATCGTCATGAGCAGGATATTGTAAAAATACCTTTTGAACAGCTCTCAGTAAGTCTCCTCTCCAGTCTACTGTGCTTTCTGTAGGCTGAAAATATAAATTAACGTTAGACTATGTCCTGCATTGAATTTCACACGAGCCAGTGTCGAGAGCGAACTACTTGACTGAACAACGGCACGACGCGCAAAATTCTACACAATTCCGCGTCCGATTGACTGCCTAATTTACCAAATAAAAGCCAAATGTTACTTACCAAAGCCGTTTCTCTTGTCTGTGCAACTAATTTCTTTAAAGCCTGAATGGCGTCCAGCAAGGCTTTCTTCTCCGCTGACCATGCAGTCTGTAGTGACGTCAACTGAGGACCAGCCTCGTTGGGTGACGACACAGACTGCGCAAGATTCTGGATGGTTTGTGCCTCTGTATTCAGGTTATTGATTAATCTCTATAGATACAAAGACAGCGATAATTAGCAACTGTATGAAGGTGAAATGTCGTTATCTATCAATGATATAAATGAAGGTAGGTTTGACGATGAGGTTTTGGCGAGCACGGTTACCCAATTATAGTTCGCTAATTATTACTATTCTGATATTGATTCTTCGAGTTTAAAATTGTCTTTAGAACAAAGTTAATGACTGCTTGTCTCACCTCGATAACATCAGCCTGTGGTTCTTGAGATTCTTCTGAAGACATTGATCTTTCTTGTTCAAGTATATGACCGAGTAGGACACGATACTTTTCGTTCTCGTCTGAACTAGATTCCAAACGAGCTCTTGTCTCAGGGGTCAGTGGATCGACACCTACGAAGAGAAAATGTGGATGGACAGGGATGAATCAACCATTTAAAATAAATATTAACGTCATCAGATAAACAATAATGGCAAAGAAACAAACAACGACAAACTAGCAAAGAAACGAACGCAAAACAACAAAAAAAGCAAATAAAAGAACCGTGCCCGTCGTGTCTCGCTGGAAAATCACTAACCTGAGAGAGACTTTAGTCTTTCTAGTTCGCTCTGGTGTTCTTGTTGGATTTGGTCCATGTGCTGGCGATGCGATTTTAGGAGTTCTTGTCGAACATTGTTGAGTTTCTCCAGATGTTCCTTTTCCATTTCGGTTCTTGCTATGTTCAAATCTTTTTCGTGTCGTTGCTTCTCAGCTTCTTTTAACGCAATTATTCTGGCTTCGTATTGGCGTTTTAGTTCTTCCTCGGAACTCTTAAGCTTTTAAATAAAGATAAATTTCAGAGACTTTGTAATTTTGTGCATGAAGAAAAAAGGAGGTAGAATGAGGGAAAAGACACCTAAACAACAACAGCAAGGACAACAGCAACAAGAACAAAACAGCAGCAGCAGCAAAAACAGCAACAACAACAACAGCAACAACAACAACAGCAATAGCAACAACAGCAACAACAACAACAGCAAGAACTACAGCAGCAGCAGCAACAACAACAACAGCAGCAGCAGCAGCAGCAACAACAACAACAACAGCAATATGAGAATAAAAGTCACCGTTACCTGTGGATTTCGCTCTTTTTGCTGTTCCACGTTTTGTTTTTCTTGTTCATAAGTTTTCTTCAGGTTATTCATTTCATCTTCATGGATGTCAGATTGTGTTTTAATGACGGCTTTAAGTTGTTCGATTTCATCACTGGATACCTTTTGTTGTTCAACATTTTGTTTAATAACTTGCCGTAGTTCTTCATTCTTGAGGTCTCTGGATTTGACTTCATTCTCGCTACTCTCAAGCTTGGCTTTAAGTTGTTGTATCTAAGAAAAAAAAAGAGTATTTGTAAAAAAAACTTTCTGGACAAGAATCATTGGCTTTCTTGAGGTTCAAGGATTGATGTAAGTACAAGCAAATGAAGTGTAGTATACAATTCGTGATGAAAAACGTTGTACAATTAACCCTCTTTAAAAAGACACCATCGGATTGCAAATAAAGTTTGGTGAAAACGATTGAATTAGTCAATTTATTTCTAAGCAACAGAAATTATACTTGACCGCCTATATTTACTACTTTTTCACAGGACGCCAAACTGCCGATTTTCTACGAATAGATTCGCTAAATTGGCTCTTAAGAGGCCTGATAATCGACTTTGTCAGGGACTTAGAACTTACCTCATTAGACAACGACACCTGTGTAGAAACATTATCTTCGATTTGGTCTTTGAGTCCTTTAGCCTCTGCCATGTGTCCTTTCAGCTCTTCGTCTTTCTCTTTCAAGAGTTTGTTTAGATTCTCTATATTGCTTTCAAGCTCGCTTTGTTTTGTACGACTCTGAATCAAAGCTTCCTCAAGTTTCCCCTTTCCACTGCCGTCTTCCTTGACTTTGTCCAAAAGTTCCCCAAATTCTTTCAACTGCACTTCCTTTTGAGTGATAATGGAGTCTTGTTCAGTCAGTTTGGCGTGTTGGTCTTCAAGGAGTTTTTGTTGTTCTTCGACCATGGACTTCATCTCGTCCATTTGCTCGCCCACTAGTTTATACTCTTCGTCTTTTTCATCGTAAGCGGTTTTAAACGCGTGGAGCTGCTCCATAAGAATTTCAATGTCTTTACTCTTTTCCTCAAGTTCACTTTTCATCTCGTCCAGCGCTGSGTCAGGAGCTTGCTTGGGTTCGCCTGAACGCTTTGTTCGATCGATTTCCTCCTAAAAGAATCGGTACTTCAATAAGTATCATTAGGATGATATGTATTCCAAGCTCGCAACATAGCTATAATTTTATGTTTACAGGAACTGTATAAGTAAACTTACTTTTAGTTGCGATATCTCCATCAGTTTTTCATATAGTTGGTTTTGGAAAGTCTCTTTTTCGCGTTGCCATTCTTCTTCGGCTTGCTTTCGGGCCTCTAAGTCTTTTAAAAGCTCTTGGTCTTTCACGTTCGACTCCAATGCTTTGGCAAGTTCTTCTTGTAGCTCATTCAAACGTTCAAGAAGTTCAACTTCGCGCACTGACTTCTCGTCTAGTTCGCTTTCAAGTTCCTGCTTTCTTTTCGTTAGTACTTTGATTTCTTCCTGTAGTTCAGAGGTGGCGGCCTCTAGAAGCTCTCGAGTTTCTTTTTCAAGATTGTCGATGTTGAATTTCTCCTGTATTTCTTGCAGACGATTCGCTAGTTCTTCTTTTTCGGATGACACCTGTTACAATCAAATCACATTGAGCAAAATCAGCTTAAACTTTATTGGTGTATAATAGTTAGAAAAAGAAAATTAAAGCAATGGGGATAGCAAAAAACAAAAAAAAAAAAAAAAAAAAAAAAAAAAAAAAAAAAAAAAAAAAAAACAGGGCAGATCAAAGAGCATATCATAAAAATAGCAAACAGCGTACAATTGGAACACGTGATCGTCGATTCAATCCGTATGCGTTCCTCATCACCGTACCTGTTTGACAAGCTCCATCAACTTGTCCGCCTGGTCAGCCTCATGCATAGTTTCTTCATGCTCTATTTGATAGGCTTCAAGCTGTTGCTCAAGTTCTTTGATACGATCTTTCATGTCCTGGACATCCATTTGAGACATCCCTTGATCATCGAGTTGAGGCGGGAAGTCACTTTCAACATTCTCAACGACCAACACAGGGATATTCCCTTCTTCTTTCCCCACGAGAGCGCGTTGAAGCTGTAAGATTTTTTCTCTGTCTTTTGCATTCTCTTTCTGAGCATAATTCAACTTATCTTCTGAAGTTTTTAGCTGTTCTTTTTGGGCTTTAAGAAGTTCTACAGCCTCATTTAGCTCTGTGTTCAACTGCTTCTTGTTGTCCTTTAACTCTTTTAAGTCAGCTTTTAGACTCTCGGCTTCTTCATAGCTTTTTAAATCGCTATCTGACAACTGTGCCTTCAGCTTAGCGATTGTATTATTTGCTTCTTCTTTCTCGTCCCAAAGGTGCTGWACTCCYTCKCGAAGTTGCTCGATAGCATCCTTGAGTTTCTCGTTGTCTTCGACCAGCTCTCCATGTTCTACCTTGAGGTTTTGGTTCTCTTCTTTTAACCTCTCGTTCTCAGAAATCACCTCCCCCTCGGACCCAGTCATCTGTGATCTATTCGCTTCCTTCTCGAGRCTTGMCARTCGTTGKACAAGTGASTCGTTTTCTTCCTTCATYTTCTCATTCTCTTCAAGGATATYAKTTTTTTCCTTTGCTGCATCCTCAAGTTGGGCGGTAAGTCCATTATTGACAGATTCCAATTCCTTCACCTTGGAAACCAACTCGTTATCTTCTTCAGGAACAGTMTCAGTATCAACTGATTGAGTTTCCTTCTCTTTATTTAGCTCCTGTTCAATCCGTTCTTTCTCTGTCTTCAGTTCTTTCAGCGAATTTTCAAGATTTTGCATTTCATTCTGTGCTTTCTTGTTTATACTTTCAGATTCTGCGACCTTTTCGCTGAGGACTTTGGCCTCTTCTTCGAGTAGTTTGTTCTTTTTCTCTAGTTCTGCTAGCTTTTCAYTGAGTTCATCATTGGTTTTTTGAATATCATCYAAGGCGCGGCTCTCWTTCTGCTTTTCTTCGTCTCGTGCTTTGAGATTCTCGTTTTCTTTCTGCAGCTCTTCCAACTTTTGTTCCAAGTCAGTTTCTTTTTCAATTTCAACCTTTTCAGTTTCATTCTTTTTCTTTTCAAGTTCAGCTTCAAGTCTCTCGTTCTCTGCAGCATACTCCTCCATCTGTTCATTGACTTTCCTTAATTCGTTCTCTAGTCGTTCTCTTTCCTGGAGCTCTTCTTCTAGACGTGTCATCAGGTTTTCTTGTGCKGACATGAGCTGGCCGAGTTCATCATTACGCTGTGCTGTAGTATCATGGAGTTCTTTCTGAGCCAATCTTGCTTGATTTAACTGCAATGAGAARTACATGGTTATTGCTTCTTGTGATAGAAAGTAGGGAGAGGTCTTCCTCGACTGGGAGTGTTCTATTTTTTCAAGTTTATACCTAAGTTTACATCAACCTCTGTCAAAACACAAAACATTCCTTTTCGTCCTCCCCTTTCTCCGCTCGGCCCTCCCCAATCCCTTTAGAGCTGCTAAAACACATGAATAATATACTAAACCACAGAGAATAGAGAGCCACAGGTATTCAGTTTCTATCCTATCAAAACAACGACTTTTTCACTCAGTATTTTGTACGTTRTGTAATAGCCGCCATGTTACATAAAGATGATCAAGCTTTCCTCAATAACTCCCTTGTTCGCGGTGGCGACAGCTTAGATATCAGTTTCCGTAATGATTGCAAACTACGAATTGCTCTACAAATCATTGCCAATAGGAGAAACTGTCAACAATAATTCAACTTCATCTACGACAAGCAGCTTGACAACAACCACGTCATTAACGATGACGACACGAATAACAATGACGACAAGTGTTACCTGTCTGGTAAGTAGWGCAACCATTTCCAGTAACTTGTCCACAGCAGTCTTGAGTCTACTTCTACTATCAATGACAAGCTCTTCTCCCTGCTCGTCAAGGCTGGGTCCTTGGAACAAACTATCAGTCATAGCGAGCTGCGAAACTTCTAGTCCCTCGTCACTCAARAAAGACAAATCAGACTTGTTTGTGAGAGTAGTATCGCCAGCATCGGATCCGTCATCACCGTCGTCTAGAAAAACAACACAGTAAAACACAACTTTTACTCAAACAAATTCGTATTGTCCGGTGTAACACGAATGTTCCCCAGTTATAAGAATAGTTTTGTAAGCTTACAACAATGTTAACATGTGTTTCTGCATGGTAAACTTCAAATGCGCACACAGATTCCTATGTAGATTTAGAGACTCTTTGCGAATCCAGCGTTCTTGCTATGTTATATTGTCAACATTCTAAGCCCTTGGTAGTGTCTTCATAGAAGAGCGTTTTTCAACACATAAACAGCAGCGATGATTCACTTTGAATAGAAAGGCACAGACTTACCAGGTCTTGGCATCCCAAGTCCCGCTGCAGGTGTCGACGTCGCAGCACCTGGTGGAAGAAAGCGTACTCGCTTGRCAGAGTCCGGTGGGAAAGCAGCAGATAACGTTGCTGAGGAGAAGTCATCCCCTCCACCTATGCCACTCTCGGACTGACTGGTCTCTTCGATCAAGTCTTCTAACTGGCGATTGATGGTGTCTTCAGCAGCCGCTGCTGATTTCACGGTATCTGATAACAGCTTTAATAATCGGTTGTTTGTATTCTGCAAAGCATCTCTGAAATTGAAAACAAAGATGTAACTTTCGATATGGCGGAGAAGATTAAATACAGTCAACTAGAATAGAACGGGATTAAGTAAGAGTCGAACAAATAAATAAAAAAGGGGAAAAAAGATTGTCAATTGAAAAGACTAACTGGCTATGTTACCTCTCTTCAGCGAATCTATCCACGTCTGATCTCARCATACTAACAAGGTTTTGGTCTTCCTGGTGCTCTCTCTCATGTCGCGCCATCAGCATGTCGTAACGTTCCTGCGTTCTTTTTACGTCTCGTTGGATGATTTCATTTTCTTCTTGAAGCTGTAAAAATATGTGATTAATTTGTAATAATCTTTGTCGATATTTAAAAAAAGAAATATCAGATTTTTCTTGTCTGGTTTGTTTATAAGATTACCTCTTTGATTTTGTCTTCGAGTTGCTCCTTCGTGGTCTAAATTAGAGAAGAATTGAAGGGGAAATTAGAAGCCATGCTGTTATTGTTTTATAACGATTGTTGTCGCGATCATTATTACATTATCAATTGTATTAACAATAATGTATAATAACGTTTATTTTAAACATTTGGCAACAAATGGACCCATCACATTTGGATTGACTCGAGGAAAGTCCAGTAATGAAATACATTKCGTAGCAKGCCGTCATGGCCCCAAATAACGATTAGCTATCTCGTCTAGCACTTAACTGAAGCAAAAGAAACGGCGACATGCTTGATGCAGCGCCGAAATGACAACTTTCAGACCACGGAATAGATAAACGTTCATATAATCATCATCATCATCTGCAGCATTATTAACTAAATCATTGGCATCATCGACATCATCGACTCCAATGCCATTATTATCACTAAATGATCACGTCAAACGATACAATTGTAGACCAGAAAACTAACCTTGATTTCTTTCAGCTGTTCATTGAGTTCCTGTTCTTTGGATGACAACTTTTCTCGTCCACTATCGAGTTCTTTTTGATATTTCTGTTGTTCTTTTTGAAGTTCATCAGCATAACGCGCTTCTATCAACATCTTCTCTTCGTTGTGCTGCTGTTTCACCATCTCAAGYTCGYTAAGAACGCGTTGAAGTTCCTAAAATTGTTTTAGTACATTTCGTTTTAGTATAAACGGGATACACCGAATGACCATGCACTAGATGAATCATTACCTCCTTGTGTTGGCTCTCTATCAAATCCTGTAGTTCTTTGACCTGGTTTCCATGTGAAGCATCCATYAGTGCCTGTAAATTTTCTACCTGGCGATCTGTCTCGTCTTTTGCTTTCTCCATGATTTCTTTATGTGCTGTTTGCAAGCTGCCTTGTACAGCCTCCAGAGCTAGTACACGAGCTTTCTCTTCTTCTAGAGCTGTTTGGTAAGATTCAATCTCGTTTTTGTGAGCAGCCTCAAGTTCTTCCTTTGCTTGGGATATTTCTTGGTTGGCAGCAAGATTGACGGCAGATAACTCATCTTGATGCCTGCTGCTAAGGTCTGATGTGATCCTAGTACACAGAAATTACATTATAAATAAGGATAYTTAAGAAATTYGAYCTTTTCAAGTTAAACTAGACGCTCTAGGAGCGTGAAGTCGGGCTAGCTTATAGCGAAAAATATCGACTAGTTYGCTAAAATACACAATGCTATTCTTACTTTTCTATTTGCTGTTGATGTTCAGTCTTTAGCATTTCGATCTCTTCCATGTGTTTCTCCTGTAAGTCAGCCAAACCATGCAACTGCTCGGCATGCTTCTCACCAAGACTTTCCTCAAGTTGTTGAAGATTTTGTAGATGTTCCTGTTCAACCTCGAGGCGGGCAATTTCTCTTGCTTGTTCAAGTTCAGCCTGAAGCCTTTGTGCCATTTCTACACGCACGGCTTCTTGTGCTTTCACTAAATCAGTCTATTGAAGGAAGAAAAGTCTCAATTTTTGGTTGAGCTGCAGGTATGATGAATTAGTGGCTTAACTACTTTTCAWTTCTCTTACCTTATGTTCTTCCTCAAGTTTTGACGCCATTTCAGTAAATTTCTTCATGTGCGCGTCCACCAATTCCTGTCTCACGTTCTCCAGCTCACGTTCATGTTGCTCTTGGAGCATGTTCATTTGGAGTTGCTGCTGTTCACTGATACTGCCGTCCATAGCAGTTTTAAGCCTCTCTAAATCTTGTTTCTTTTCACTCTCCAGTTTTGCGCGTTCAGCTTGGAGCTCTGTGTTAAATTTCTCGTGTAGAGCTTTGATATCGTTTTGGTGTCTGCCTTGTAGTTTATCGATCTCTTCTTTATGCTTGTCTTCGAGAGAGTTCCTTTGCTGTGATTGTTCTAAACCGTAAATCAAAAATACGTTTTGTTGTTCGATAGAAGTACGTAAGAATGACTTTTCAAACGATTCTTTCGAGACCAGTCATTGATATATATTCTGGTCACATTATCGAAAGGTGTCGGAGAAAATGTGGGTAATACATCAATTCTGTCGTGCTTCTTTAGTTGATCAATTTTTTTACTCTGAGTAGCAGACTGAATTGTACCAAACAAACCGAAAAAAAACGAACAAACTTACAACACAGAATATACAGACAAACACATCAATAGACCGACAAATAGATTTAGAGATATCCAAACAGTCGAACAGATCATTCAATAAACGCATAAATAAACAGTTACATACTGAATAAACCGTTAGAAACTACTATTATTTACCGTTACTAAGCCTATCAAGCTTCTCTTKCCATTTTCCATTCAGTTCTTGTTCTTTGCGTGTAATCTCTTCCTGAAAAGCCTCCTTGGCTTCCTTGACGTCCTTCTCAGCTGCGTCCTGTAACTGGTCTTTAAATTCCTCAACTTTCGACAAAAGCTCGAGCTTCATCTTCTCTTTATCTTCTTCATGCTCAGCAGCAAGTTTTTCTCGCAGYTTTTTCATTCTTTCAATATCGTCATCAGGTTTGGCAAGACTARCTTCCTTTTCTCTTAACATTTCCAAGAAYTCTTTCTTGAGCAAATCAAGCTGCTCCTCGTGTTCTTTCTGAAGCTGTTGTCGTAAAGCTTCAAGTTCAGCTTGCTGTCGTTCTTGATAGATCTYCTTCAGATCATCATCACCTTCACCTTTCTTGGCTTCTAGAACTTCAACGAATTCGTTTCGTTGGTTTTTGAGTTGTTCTTCATGCTCCGACTCCAGATCATTTCGCAGCGTCTCCAGTTCCTTTCTGTGCATATTCTCCAAAGAGTTCTTCAGAACATCAAACCTTTCCTGATCTTGTGATGACAGAAGCTCGTTAGACAAACGGTTGACATCATTGGAGTAATTTAGCTTGACAGTGTCAAGATCTTCTTGGTACCGATTATCAAGATGTTCCTTGAGCTCGACCAGTTCTTCGTAATGCTTCTTTTCTAAGGCTTCTCTGAACAATTCAAACTTTTCATCATCAGACGCACCGAGCAGCTCGTCTCTCATGGCCTCAACTTCTGCCGATAAATCTTTCTTAAAGCTTTCCATATCTTGTGTATGTTTTTCTTGAAGTGCTTCAAGCTGTTGTTGATGTACAGAAGCTAGACTTTCCAGCTCTTTCTCGTGTTTACTTCTCTCTTCATGTACTGCTGTGTTTACCTGCTTCTCCATGAGCTCTTGAATATGTTTCTCTTGATCTTCCGAAKTGCTCGACTCTTCTGATTTACGTAGTTTCTGAATTTCTCCTTCATAATGGTCTTTGATATCTTGTAGTTTCTTTTCAAATTGTTCAAAGCGCGAGTCTTCTCCGTTTGTCTTTCCCCATGTCTCTGCAATCTTCACCTCGTCTTTTAGTTCTTTGATTTGTTTATCATATTCTTGGCTTAAYTCAGTTATTTCCTTCTCGTGGTTTAGCAATATTCTCTGGATTTTATTTTTGTATTCTTCTTCGATTTCAGTCTTCCCTTGAAAATTGTTATTGCTCTTTAGTCTTTCTTCTTCAATCTTTTGAGCAGCCTCCATTGCCATTTCGGCACGTACACATGATACCTCCTCCAGAAGGTCGTTGTATTGATTTTTCTTGATATTCTGCAGATCTTCGTTGTAGCTYTCGCTCAAACTATTGACTTCCTCAGATTTGGTGTCAAGCTCCTCCTTCAATTGTTCRACCTCTTTGTCTTTTTGGTTGAGTTTATTCTTTAGTTCGTGGACTTTCTTRCGGTGGTCAAGTTCCATGCTTTCTATTTGCGAGGATAATCGAAGTGCGGTATTTTCATAGTCTTTTTGACTTTCTTCTCGAAACTCTTCCATCTCCTTCTCGTGYTTCTTTTCCAAAGTCGCACGCAGTTGCTCCAGSGATTGMGCATGCTTCAAAGCCATTTTGGTGCTGAGTTTAGCATAGTTGTTGACGTTTTCCTCGGCAAAAGTACCTCGTAGTTCTTCAATTTCCTTCTCGTGTTCATATTTCAGGTTTCGCATCGAGTCGACCATTTCATCAAGCTTTTCTTGGTGTTCCTTATCCATCTCCTCTCGAATACTTTTCAGCTCTTGCTGGTGTTTTTCACCCAGGTCTTCAGCAAGCTTATCTAAGTCAGTCTGATAACCRTCTTGTAGTTGTCGGACAGTTTGTTGAAGTTGCTCTTGATGTTTGCCATCTGATTCTCCACCCAAGTTTAACAATTGTTGCTCTAGCTCTCGGATTTTTGCAGCATTCTTGTGTTCGCTAGTCATATGCCTAGAAAATAATTTCAGAAGAACAATATTGAAAAAACAAAGGAAATTGAACTACGCCATCCGCCAACCGGACAAAGATATTTACCCAGTACACAGCACACCAATCAATGAAACATCAATGTACCTTTACAAATACCGACAACAAGCTGTAGCCGTCAATCAATCAATCAATTAATTAATCAATCAAACAACCAACCCATCAATCAATCAACCAACCAACCAACCAATCTATCCATCAACCAATCCATCAATCAAATTCAATATTAAGTTTCATTGATAGAATATTTGATATTTAGCATTACGACAAAATGCTTGTGAATAAAAGCAGCAAAAGTACCTGTTTTCAAAGTCTTCCGACAATTTTTCCATTTCTCTCACATGTTCAAGTTCAAGTTGGAGTTTCTGGTTCTCGTAGTCTGACCTAAGCGCTTCCACGGCTTGGCTGTGTAGGTGTTCCATATCTACAAGTCGTCTCTCATACTCTCCCTTGACCTTCTCAATTTCCCGCATGTTGTCCTTCTTCAACTGGCTTCTCTGCTGCTCCATCTCGTCACGAAGCTCTTCAAGACGGTGCGCTTGTTGTTGCGCGCTTGAATCGTGCGAACTTTCCAAATCCGACCTCAATTTTTCGATTTTGTCGTACTCATGAGTAATTTTGTTATTCATTTCTAGCAATTCCTGTCTGTGATCATTYTCCATTTTGGTCTTAGTTTTTTCTGCTTGTTCCATGATTTCTCKCAGTTCCTCGCGAAGTCTTTGCATTTCTTCTGTGTGTTTTTGACCTAACTCGTCCAGCGAGGCAACAGTAAATGCTTCCTTATCTTTTTCTAGCTCTAGTTTGAGTTCTGTTGTCCTTTTCTCTTGTCTTGAACTGAAATCTTTCTCTAAGTCCTGTAATCTGCCAGCGTATTCTTCTTTKAGGTTTTCACCAAATKTTTCCAGCTCTTTTTCATGGTTTTGTTTAAGTGACTTGCCTTGCTCTTCTAGTTCTTTCTGGAATCCTCTTTGAAGSTCTTCGCGTTGTTTTGACATCTTTTCACTAATTTCACTTGYATGTTTTTCTTTGGTGTCTTCCAACTCTATCTTGATCTGCAAGAATGTGGAACCACGCATGAAAACACAAATGTCAAGATAGCGTCATGTGATTCATCCGACGAATGAATGCCAGAATTATTGTCTAAATAGTTAAATGTATGGGMGCAAAAGTGAATGAATGGATAGAAGGATGGTTGCAAGGAAAAACTAGTGAGTGAAAAACGGCAAACGTTGGTAAAACATCTAATACCAAATACAGYCAACTCTCTYCTGACGGACACCCCGCTACAACGGACACCTCGATATTTCGGACAGTAAAATACTGAATACCCCGCGAAAAATACAAAGAAATGGTGGAAAGTATTTCTCGTTACTACGGATTCTCGCTACTGCGGACACCAAATTACGGTCGCGACGGTGTCCGTTATAGCGAGAGCTGACTGTATATTAAATGCAGTTCCATATTCCTACTTGTTTCAATCGTTGGTCCATTTCTTCAAGCTCAGCATTACGCTCTTTTTCAAGGTCGTTCAGTTTGGCCTGCCAAACATTTTCCACTTCCAGACGTACCAGCTCGATTTTGATGGCATGGTCAGCCATCAACCGAGCTTCAACCTCTTCAAGCTCTGCTTGATGCGCCTGGTCAAGGCGGGCCTTAACCGCTTGGATTATTTGCTGATGTCGCTGGCTCAAGTCTGAAACATTCAATTAAAAATTAAGTAGTTGTCACAATATCAGTTTCAGTCTAGTAAATTTAATAAAACATAMACCTCTGTGAGCTCGTTGATACAATCATTATAGATTAGATAGATAATGGCAGTATGAATGCATTATGTATGAGATGGTGTGCAGATAACACTAGGAATATAGAAATACATGCAAGATCATAAAAACCACATATAAACATGTGAAAATGAAAGCTTGATCTCAGATAAATCACCTTAATCCCGCTAAAAATTAAGGTATATAAGAATTCAAGCAAGGATTAACAGTAAATTAGCGASACAGAATAAATCGAAAAACATAACGAAAGAAACTGAAAAAGGCGTTTAAAATCTTCAAATCAAACTAAGAAAAGAAATGGGATAAGAACAGGACAAGAATAAAAGGGAAAAGGATAAAAAGCGGAAGAGATTAAAACAAAAAAGMATGTCAACCAASGAAGCACCGCCAATCTATTAAAGACATACGAATCCATCAAACCATGATTTCAAACCACCGATGGTGTAAACAAACCCGAACACTCAAAGTACTTTTTGATTAATTGATCTGACATCCGTTGTCTTAAAATAGTTTGTTTTGAAAACTCCAAGTATTTTCGAGTGACAACTTATGTCAGTTCTCATTTTACATTTTCAATCAATCGGTTTTCATTGCGCTTCAAGAGAAAATGAGTTGCGGTTTGAGCAACAGGAGGTATATATTTGTAGCAATAAGTAGTATRGTTTTTACCTGTGTCGCGTTTTCTCCAATTTTGCAAGGCGTTCGTAAAAAAGAACGCCATTATGACTTAGCAATCTCTAGTTGAGCAAATTTGACAGCTTTTTTTCGGTCAATTTCTAAATTAATTGTCAATACTCCAGAAATGTCATGAACCAAGAAAAACTGATCACTTGGAAATTATGGTAATATAGGATATTAAAAACACCATGGTAACGGATAATACAACCAAATATGCTGCAAATCTTAGGATATTCTCATTACATCTGCTGAGCATATTTGAGCTTATCCTAAAAAGAGGAATGAAAAACAAGGCTTGGATTTCATAGTCACACATGTAGAATTACCATGTAGAACTCTATATATATCGACAAAAATAATAACTTTGCTTTCTTCATGTTAGCACGATTGTAGGTGTCAAATTAGATTTGCRATTCTTTTTGGCGTGAATATTGCAAGAAATTCGATATTTTTCTTTAATTACCTTAATTGATCTTCGTCTTTAGAAATAATTGTTTCAAACAATAGCTCAATTCAATATTCAATAGCTCTGAGGAAGATTYATTTGCATTTGATATAAATTAGAGATCATTTCCCTTGTGTTTTGTTAGAATTTCAAATTGTGGTTTAGGAACAGTTCAGCAGCCATTTAGCGAGAAGTATTGGTTTGAATTATTGAATGACGAGAAAACATCAAGGGGACAACAAACTATGAACTCAAATAATAATATCATAATAGAATTGGTTAATTAATTAATTAGTGACCGGTCAATATATCCAATAWGGTGTGCCAAAATCGGCATGATYCAAATTAAACGCGCGCGTCTTCGTCTATGAAAAAGCGCGGGAAATTCTTGGTATCTCATTAGCCGTTAATAATACACTAACTCAASCATAAACTWRACTCATTCAAATATCCCCTGAACTTAATTTTCTATTCATAATTAATAATAGCAAGATAAAAATTGAAACCTAAATATGATATTCTGTGGGTTTTGATGAGGTTACTTGAATACTATCACTTTTGATAAGAAAAAGACAACAAACAACGAGTCGGTCTCGAAGCATTCTCTATCGGAAGCTGGGTTCCTAAATACAATAACACAGCTCGATTGTGGCATCAAAACCGGACATAAAATCATAATTTGATGGAAAAAAGACTAAAATTTTTAAGCGTGACAAGCTTCATTGCTTATTTGCAGCGTTCATGATAATATTTTGTTTRAATTCTCAAGTTTAGCGACTGTATAGTAACTGTAAATAAATGCTCACAGTTGATTGGCTTTGAGCGGGCGAATCTGACTGYGTGTGGAATACATACCATCTCTGATTTCCTCCAGGTCTTGCAAATGYTTTTTCTCGATCTCTTCAARGTCGCTTGACTGTTGTCGTTCCATAACGCCTTTCATAGTACTGACCTGCTTCAATCTCTCGTTCTCTAGATGGCTTTTCAATACTTTAAGCCTTTCCTCGAAGTCTTCACTCATGCGAGCGACCTGCAGTGAAAGAAGAATAAWAACATTGAGCTAAACACCAAGCCTGYAGWAAAATAATAATGGTCACCTTAGAGTTGTACGCCGGATACAGCTTTGACATGACTTTTGTTTCAGTGTTTGCTTAGAAATGCCAAAGAGCCAGTGTCTTTTTATCATTGTAGATTAGTTTGTTAATTTGAATTGCATTCTAACAATATAATCAATTAGTGTGAAGTGAAGGGTGTAGAGACTAAGAGAATTGGGTTTCCTGTGTTTGAAATTAGGTCTAGACAATCAAGAAAAGTACATAAAAGGCTTCCAAAAATGATCTAATTACGGGTAGGGCTTGGGCATTAAATGATTTGATAGACTAGTTCTCACTGTACTAATGCCCCAAATCTCCTGTCGCTTGGAGTAAAGACAAGATCAAAGATTACGTTACCAAAACCATTTTTTTAGTTCCGCAAATAAGCTGTAAAACTTTATGCAAACGAATCAATTTGCTGTCAAATCTACGTTAGAGATAGATGTCCATTACCTAGATTTTACAGCGAGAGAAATTCTACTTCAATAAAACATACAGATACAGTTAATTTTTCCGTGTAGGACTTTTGTCTTTTAAATGAATAATAAAGTAGAGGGTTTTTAAGTAATAGTCGAGGTACTAGTTTGCAAAGTGATGGTTGACCGATCTGACACGGAACATGATGAACGCTTATTACTGTACTCTGAACGGCAATATAGCATGACAAGTGAATTATCGGTTATATTAACACTATGAAGGCTATAAAAACACAAAACTACAAGACAAAATATACAAAAACGAAAAATCATAATCCGTTGACAGTAAGAAATATAAATTAGCTTTTCATGMGAAATAAACGATCAAAATACACAGTTTGAAGAATAAATTTGAGTTTACCTTGAATTGATGGACAGCCTTCTGCTTTCACACGGCGAAACCATGCAAACAAACTGAGATGGTCKCGGAAGTTTGACAACTTTKTTGCCTCACAATTGAAGTAAAATACGATTGAYCGAATCAAGAAAACATTTRAAGGTTCTGTTATGAYAACGCGACCAATAGGAGTAGCATAAGATAAAAGTACGAAGAGTTTATACATTAAACATTCAAAATAAACAGTACGGTTTTATATTGACTATTCGAAGACTTGATCATTGTCGTTTACATCAAACAATCAACGAACCGCGACGCGCAAAATCCATTCGAATGTTTGTCCACAGTAAAAAAAAACATCTCGAAATACAAAACTATACGACATACTTAGTCATCATACTTAACAACATAAAATGTACAAAATAGAGTACKGTAAAAATATATACTTGGAATTTTCAGTCAAGCATACGAAAATGTCATAATATTTACCTCSCTCTTATTCATCAGCCAATCAGAAACAACGTTATAGTAGTTGTAACAGGTGTCGCGATGGTTTCTATTATGCGATATGATTGGCTACCATTGTTGTAAGAACAAGCGTTAGAGCATTGTCGTGACCAAAATAAGAATATATATTCACCGTGCATTTAACGTTAATTCTTGTATCAGAAAATCTCTAAACTTCCGATTACACCATAAATATAGACCAGTATTAAAACTAGTAATTCCTAAACCATACCATGATTAGCAGWAAAATTATATTCTAAATGCGATAATGTGCTTTGATGCACGAGATCAGTTATAATCCATGTTGTTTTACGGTTATGTTGTGAGTAATTTTCAGACGGTTATAATTTTAAGCAGAGAGGCGAAGACCGGAGTATGTTACACAGAATATAGATATAGAATTCACATCTGAAAATCAGAAAACGTGCGTGCTGTAGATAGAAAGTTATAGGAAATGAGCAGTGTGCTTCTCTCTTCACGATCACTTGGTTTAAACACAACCAGCATCAACACTGACCTTGAAACACTTCCTCTCCATTAATGAATCTACAAGCCATAAAGAAAGCTCAGACCAAGATCCCATCACATCTAAATGCACTATACAGTATATATACCAAACATGAAATACACAAGGAGCCAAAMGAACGCCAGGCAATGGAGATTTCCCAGTCAGATTGTTGTAAAGTATAAAAACCTTATTCATCCAGCCGTCTTGGCGAATGTAGAAAGCGACAGATCATCCCGTTTCGATTTTCTATGAACTCAAACTGGAATCCTTTTCCAGGAGTCATGTTTAGTTAGAGTAAGRATGTGTTGTTGGCTGTGTGACCGTCCATCGTCTGCCAAATGTACGTGGATTATTTGGTCAGTGCTATTTATATGGACCCTACAGACCTTTTGCATTACAAATCAGCTGTTCCAAATCGAGGTAACGCAATATCGATTCAAAGAGATCGAGAAACTGAACGAATGGAATGAGAATAATCCCTTTCAAATAAAGGAAATTATTTGAATTTTTATTATTTTCATTCGTTCCTGTTTTATAAATTTATCAAATCATGTTTGGACGGAATTTAAACAAGACCGCATTTGTCAAGTGTCTGACATGTCAAAAACGCTCAATATTTTGAATTTATCAATTTCTGTAGGACATAATTCATTCATGAAAAGATACATTTGTGACAGTTTCGATAATAATAGTACAAAAAAAAACACAATAAATACAAGAACGAAATGAAATATTTGGAAAAAACCATCCAAGATCCCAATATTGTACAAACATTTTGAAAAGGGAAACAAAGCGATTTGTAAACGATGAAAATTTAACGATGCCCCGAAGGCGTAAATATAGCCAATAAATATAGAATGACTGTATCGGTGATTATTGGTCTAGCTTTCTAGTTACTATGGAAAAACCTCAGAATGACTAATTGATATTTGATGTTTTGACAATGATTGATGATACAATACTCTTGTTCTTTGTGTAAATTTTGAGTAAATAATAAGAGCAGAGTGAGAATAATACAGAAAGCTACCATAAAGCGAAAAGCGCGAAAAATATATTCTTAAATATGTAAAGTGCTTTGCTTAAGATGGTAATATTTTAGGAGTTACAAGAAAACATAAGTCAGATCAAARTAAGAGTGAACGGAAGAAAACAGGACAAGAATGACAGAAAAATAGCAGCATAAAAAGCCAGAATATTGTAGCCTAGAATTAGATATAAATGTTTTAATTCTGCAGTAATGGAGTAATGAAAATAAAGCGAGTTATAGAAATTTGAGCTCAAGTTCAGTCTGAGAAAGATAAGAAAACAGAAGAAAACAAAAACACAACACACAACACAAATAAAACACTCGGTGTTCAATCCATGCTTTTTTTTATTCCAAAATTGTAATAATAACTAGATTTTTATAAAGATTTATAACATTTCATATAAAAACATTAGAACTTTTATATTAAACTGTTGGTTTAATTTTCAACTTTTCCCTAGTATACAATTATGCCCATTTCAAAACAGAAAATAACTCTTTTATTCCCTTACGTTTACCGTGATTAATATTTTTATATACATCGAAGGGATGCATTTTAACTATTTAAACTCTTTTTTAATGAATTCTTTGAAAAATAAAGTCATTCCGACTGAGTATCGATTAGTTGCATATTTGAAATTCTTTTAATGAAATTCGATCTTCGTGGTTTATGAGTTAGAATATCACGAGGGCAGACATGAATACAAGTTTTACTACATCAAGGCTGCCAATGAGTATTAAAATTATCGTTTATCGTGTTTTCTTTAGTTTATTTTATATTTTAGTGGTATTTTCAATGTTTTATGTTATAATGTGAGCATTCGTTTGTCATTTAACTTGTCCATACGTGCACATCTTACAAACACACCACACACATAAAGCTACCACTAAACACACGAACAAAACAGCCTTTATATGGTAAAACACTGTAATCACCTTTGCCTCAGACTGAACTGACAGCTATCAGAAATACGAAAAATACCATTATAAAAATACCATCCGCGCTGCATAATTTTTCACGGTAGCGAACAGTGCTTTGCATATTGATTAGCGCGTATGMGGTATTCATGAGCCTTTTGTCTGTTGTATTGAACTAGAGGAAATGCTTTCAAAAACATAGCGATGCATGCCAGTATGAATCAATGAGAGTCTACAGTTTACGAAAAAAATCATGTTTGTTTGTTCTCTGTATTTCTGTAACCGCAAAGACCAAAAGCACGTCATATGATGGGTCATTAAGATGAAGTTTTGTGTAAATTCTCCTTTTCACAGTTGTCCAACGATATCACAGATATCAACAGCAATCAAAATCCCGTCATTAATTTTATAAAAATAGRAACATACAAGCGGTCTCGATACCATACCATTCGCATGACCTTGAAGGTCCRCTGAATTTTGAATTCGCAGGAGCATTGCTAAATATGAATTCTTATATCCCAGATATTTCAGACGAAAAGTACTTCGCTATTAGAGTGGAACCTCGGCATTCYGGAAACTTTGATGATTTCATAGAGTGACCTAAAGACTATTGTTTCAACAAATAAATCATCGCAAAGTTTTTATAAAAATAATTTTGAYATCACGGTCACTYCCATAGTRCGGGCAGCGTCCGTATTAYAGAGGTTCCACTTTATTAKTAGCTAAAWTCCCAGCCATAATCCCTCACCACACCTCTTCTCGATGACTGGCAGCAAGCAGCTCGACATCGTGCCGGTAATGTTCTTGTAGAGTAGATTCAAGGTGGGACATCTGTTGTTTGTAGTCCGTGTCCAATTCCCTTCTTAGTTGATCCAGAGAACTCGAGAACTCCAGTTCTTTATCGTGGAATTCTTTCTCCCATTCCTGCAGYTGAATTTCCTTGTTCTGCATTTCACGTTCAAGAAGTTCTTTTTCTCGCATCAGAAGTTCTTCTTTTTCTAATAGTTTTTTCTCGATGTCTCCAAGCTCGTCCTTTAAAGAAAAGAAAGAAAAAGAGATGACGAAAAGGCGGAGAGATGCGGGAGAAAAGGAATGGAAGAAAGAGGACTGTAGAGCTCTATGGCAAGACTAGAAAACGGACAGAGTATATAGGAATTACCACCCAAATAATAACAATCATGATAATAAATTCATACTAAGATAATTACGACATCAAGATCGCAAAAACTCAAACACAAAGCAAATTTATGCAAATAAATGAAAAAGGAAAGAAACAATAGCGATTCAAACAAGTAAATGAAAATTAAGCCAAAAATCAAGGGAAACGAGAAACAAACAAGCTTTAAAAATCAACACTGAAAAAATGGAACAAATACTGTAAGSAAACACACAAAAACATATCGATGCACATAAACCATTTCATTAAGAAAAATCAACAACTACAAACAACTAAGATCAACACAGGAAAGAGGAAATAAGCAAACACACAAAAAACTTTATACATGCACATGTATGCAAACAAGCGAAACACCTATTTCCTGTACCTCCAGTTCATTCTTCTGTCGTATGAGCTCTTTTTCAAATGTGTCCTTYTGTCTGATAACTTCGTTAAGTTTAGCTTGCTTAAACAGTTGTTCTTGCAACGCCGCTCTTTCTCTGTTCAATTCGCGTTCTAAAACCTCTTTTTGTCTGAACTTCTCGGAAAGTTTTTCCCTCTCAACGCGAAGGTTTTCTTCTAATGTGCTCTTTTCTTCCAAAATATCCATGTAYGAGTTTCGTTCTTGTTTTTGCTGTTCGAGTTGTTGCTGTAATTCATCTCTCTGGTCCTGTAGAGCCAAGATTTGTCTTCCAAACACGTCTTGAAGGTCGGTCGAAAGCGTATTGGACGAGGTTATTCTTTCTTGAAGTTGCTGCAAGTGAATGCGTSGGAATAAGTATAAACAAATTACAATTAATACTAGGCTCTACTATACTAAACATATTGTGTCCGTACAATACTMAGGTGCCCATATTACAGAGGTTTTCTATGATATGCATTAGGCCTTTGTAAAAAGGCGTCCACATGAAAGTGGTCGGTATTTGTTTGGTCTTCTCAAAGTACGGTACGAGGTCGTATTACAAAGGTTTCTGGTTCACAGCTTTTTTGCAGTTTCTAATGCTAAGGTTTCCGTATTAGAGATGTCTCATTTACTGACCTTAATAATCAATTCCTGTTGATTGGATCTTGATAATAGCGAATCTTTTTCACGAGAAGATACTTCATTATTTTCCTTCAACAGCGCGAGTAAGTTATTTTTCTCATCTTTGAGTTCCTCGASGACGCGTTCCTTCTCCTGTAGTCGATCCTGYAACATTGCTAAYTCGTGCACGGAATCGTAACTATCTCTTTCCAGAGCAGAGAGCTGCATCTCGAGTCGTTCTTTGTTCGTCTCAAGACTACGTTCACGGTTTGYTTTTTCCTTGAGTTCATGCTGCGCATTTTGACGTTCATTCTCTAGTTCTTTCCTAAGGTYTCCGAGTTCTTGGTTCAGTTTAGTYTCAACCTTGGTTTTTTCATGGATAATGTCCTCCATCTCTTGGATCTTMTGAAGAAGYTCTGTGTTGCTTGAAAAGGAWGGAGCAGGGTCGAATCCAGGAGGTAGTCCTTCTACCTCGTCAACAGACGTCGCAGAAATCATCGGTTCTTCTTGCACGACTTGTCTTATCGTCCTCGCGATCACGGGTTCAGTAACGGGGATTCGTTCTTTGTCGACAACATGCCGCGTTTCTGTCAGTACCTGCATTTCGTGCAGAAGACGATCACGATCCTTCGTTATACCAGACAATTCTCCCTCAAGACAGCTGGCTTTCTCCCTCTCTGACTTCAACTCTTCTTCTTTGAGGGTTATCTGCTGTAAAAGGATTTGCTGGTTTTCAGCTATTCGCTGTTCACTTTCTTGGAGTAATCTATCACGCACGCGGTTGATTTCTTGCGTRGTTTCTTGTTCAATTTCTTCCAAGCGAACATCCATATCACTTCCATGTTGCTGGCTTTTCAGCTCCTCGACTTCTCTTTGATGTTTCTCTAAAATTTCTTCCATAAGGGCCATAAATTGTTTTTCTTTTTGATCGTTGAAATCGTTTAGTTCTAGTTCATGTTTTTCTTCTAGTTGATGCTGCTGTTGTTTTARTGTCTCAATCTGATCCTCGTATTCTTCCTTCAGTAGCTCKATGTGGTGCTTGYCWGAGGATTCAGTTTCATAWGACTCGCCCCTCTCTATGAGGTCTTGGATCTGCTTTTGCAAGTTGATGTTCTCGGCATCTTTGCTTTCTTTTTCTGAAGAAATACTTTGGAGTTTCTCGTTTAGAGATTGAACAGCTTCTTTATGATTAAGAGAGAGTTCTTCTTTTTCTTTTTCAAAGGTTTCTTTTAGATTCTTTATTTCTTCAGTTTTATCATCAGATTGAGCATGTAGCTGGGATATTTGTTGCTCCATATTCAATCTGTATTCTTCTATATTTTCTTTGAATGACTGCATTTCTTGCGCATGCGTTTCTTGCAGCAACTCATGGTTGATTTCATATTCCTCTWGACGTGCTTGAAGGCCGTGRATAGTTTCTTGGTATTCTTTTTTGGCCTGTTCGAGTTCTTCTTGATACTTTACACTCTCGCTGCTCATTTCCAAAACAAGTTTCTTTTCCAACTCTACWGCCTTTTCCTGTTCGGTTCTTAACTTTTCTTCATGGATAGAAACCTCAGATTCATGCTCTTCCTCGAAGCTTGTGAGGTTGTCGTTGAGCTCCGTTATKTGTTTCTGTTGTCTGTTGACTTCTTCCTTTAGTGATTTGATCTCTTCCAAGTACGCTTCTTCGTTATCTTGCAAACTGTGCAACATCGACGACCTTTCTTTTTCTTCTCCCAGCTCACTGGCAAGCCTTTTTATCTCTCCAATGCTACTTTCTTTCTGAAGTTCGGCCTCTTCCTTCCTTGATGCTAAAATTCTTTTCTCCTCTTCAAGCTTCGACACCATAGAGTTGTATTTGGCGATTTCATYCTTTAAGTTTTGGACAACTTTATCATCTTCTTGTTTTGTGGTAAACAGTTGTTTTTGCAGTTCTGACAGCGACTGTTCCTTTTTGTGCAGCTTCTCCCTTGTATTGTCGTAATTCATCTGTGCTTCGTCTCGCTGCTTCTCTAGCTCACCATACAATGTCATCTGTTTTTCAAGCGATTCTTTCAAGACCTTGACTTCATTATCATAGATGGCTCTCAACTGGTTCATCTCCGACTTCATCATGTCATCCTTTTCGAGGCCTACATCTTGCAGCTGGTGTGCCGTTTGTGACTTCAGTTCGTCAAGTGCTTTCATGTGTTTTTCTGCCTCCTTCTGAAGTTCATTTTGATAAGAGCTCTGCAGCTTTTCCACTTCTTCCTCGTTTTGCCGCCTGTTCAGCTCAAGTTGTTGTTCCAAGTTGACACTCTTATCTTTTTCTTCTTTCAGTTCCATTYGATATGAYTCCACTTCAGAAGCAGTATTRATGAACTCATTTTTCATCAGCTGYAGTTCTGACTCTTTGGTTTCTAATTCAGTTYTCRTATTTTCGAGCTCAGATTCCTTTGATTCGAGTTCACTCCTTAAGGTTTCCACAACGGCTTCCTGTTCTTGCCGCTCTTTTATGAGTTGCGACTTTTCTGCATTAAACATCTCTGCCAATTCCTTTGACTTGAGTGTACTTTGATCTTTTTCTTCTTCCAGCTGATTGTTCAGCGCAGCGATCTTACTGTCTTTCTCAGCTATTTGTGCTTTTAGGCCTTCRAGAACGGTTGACAAGTCCACGAGATCTGAAGATGCTTTTTGCATATCCTCTTCTTGAACTTTTAGACTGCTGTTGTTCTGTGGATTTTAAAAATTGCAYAGGGTTATATTATGTTGACGATATCTTAAGAAAAACGGCATGGTAAAAAACGGGAACATAGTGGGGTTTAKACCAAGGGAAGCGCGCATTGCCAGCTTACACAATGAAAGAAAATGCTGGAAGACGAAAGCTTAAGAAAKGACAAAGAGAACGTGGCAGTAAAGTGGGAAAGTGGAAGCAAGTAAACATTGAAAAGAGGAGGGCATGATGACGCACGGATGAAGGATACAAATCAAAAGTATGAAAAGAATGGACACTTGGAATGATAGACCGCAATGCCTGTCAATCAAGATAAACAAACAGTTATCAGACAAAACTCTTGCACTCTATGTAAACGGAGCTCCATCTGCGAGTCAAAACAACTTAATCTAAACACGAAGTGAGTAAGGTTCTTTTAGTGTTTCTCAACTAAGTGGAACTGCTTTGGCGTCGAAATTCTTGCCTTTCACATGACGTCACAGCAGCCATATTGGTGAACACCAAACAAAAGCTATTCTTATGTACATCAACATGGCTGCCATGAATGCTCATCATGTGACTGCAAACCAAGAACACTACTCAGTTCTTACTTCTGACAATTGCTGCTGCAAACTCTGTATTGTCTCCGTCATTTCTTGACTTTGTTGTTGTGTTTCCTGCTTTAGTGCCTCTTGTTCAGTWTTTACGTCCAGTAGTTGTTGACTAAGTGTTTGAATGTCTTCATCTTTGGTTGTCATAGTATTTTGTAATTCAAGTGCTCGCTTCTGTTCCATGTCTAGCTTTAATGTAAGGTCTTCTGCTTGTGCTTTGAACAACATAACCTGTTTATAAATAGCAATAAACCATRAGATTATAATTTTGAAAAATACAGATATTCTAATGCACAATGAGAAACAATGTGTGACAATGACAATTCATCGGACTTGTTTCTCATTCAAAATACCAACCTCCTTTTGAATGTCTTGCTTTTCTGCTTCAAGGTAATCGGTGATTCGTCTAAGATCATCTAACTGGCTGTCTTTTTCAGCTAACTGTTCCATAACTTCCTTGAGTTTGTTGTCTCTTTCTGCGGTAATTTCTTCGCCTTCTATTTTCTTACTCTCTAGCTGACCCGCCATTTTTTCAAGTTTATCTTTAACATCCTCGAGTTCAGMACGAATCTCCTCGTTCTCTTTGTTTAACTGAGCCACAGTGTCTTGCTTTGCTTTGAGGTTTGTTTTAAGATTCTCCACCACAGATGACTCAGACTGAGAACTTTCTTCAAGAGAATCAATTTTGYGTCTTTGTGTTTGAATTTCCTGCTGCAATTCATGGATCTTTCGCTGGTACTCGTCCTCGGAGTTCTTCTGTGTCAAGGCCAACTGTTCAATCTGTTTTTCCCTCTCGGACAATTCATTTTCAAACCGAAGTATCTTGTCTTGCGCTTCTCTTTCTGTATGTTTCAACTGGAGAAAATGTTTCTGGAGATCTTCGTTCTCTTGATTCAGCTGAGCAACTGTTAACTGCTTGACTTTGAGATTTTCTTTTAAGTTTTCGATTTGAGTATTTTCCGACATTGAGTTATCTTCCAGGTTTGCAATGTGTGTTCTCAACGATACCATCTGACTCTCAAGGTCTTCGATCTTTTTAGAGCTTAAGTCCTGATTTCCTCTCAAAAACAGCACTTCATTATTCTTGGAATCCAGTTCTGAGCTCATTTCTTCGAGTTTTTTGTAACTTTCTTCAAGAAGCCCTTTCAGGTTAGAAGCCTCAATCGTAGCCAGACGTYTCTTCAGCTCTTCATTTTCTTCACTAAACTGCAACAACCTTTCATCTTTAGCTCTGAGGTCGTCGAACAGATTTGCAGACTTAGYAGCCTCTCGCTCCATGTCTCGAATTTGTGCTCGAAGCTTTTCTAATTCCATCTCGAGATCAAAAGACCGTCGATGGCTCTCCTCGAGCTGATCATGGATATGGGCAGAGTTTTCCAGTTTCTCTTCGAGTTGTGTTCTAGTCGCAATTAACTGTTCAATTTCAGCCTCTTTCCGTGAAACTAAAACCGACAAATCATCAAGTTGTTGAACACTTTCTTGAAACTGCGCACGACTTGTCCGTGATTCTGCGTCTTCAAGTTTAAGAAGTAAAGTTTGATAGTCAATTTGAACTTGATCTAATTGCTTTTCTTTACTCTCCAAGTTTTCCTTTAGTTCGTAAACCTCGTTTGACTGCTGTAATAAGCCTGAAATGTTTTCTTTGAGCATTCGATTCTCGGTCATAAGTCGTTCGTTGATCTCATTYGATTCTTCTAAAGCTGCGATTTTTATATCCAACGACTTCTGTATTTCTTCCGAGCTTCCCGTCATTCCYTGACTAACTTGTAGTTTTAGTTTCTTGTTTTCAGCATCAAGAAGCTCGTTTATCTTATTAAGATCTTCTAAYGCTGCTTTTTTTATTTCTAAACTTTGCATCAGTTCCTCCGWGTTTCCATCCTGTTTGTTGCTGCTTAGCTTTGCTCGTAATTCTTGGTTTTCTTTGTTGATGTCTGTTAAAATAGCCTGTTTTGTATGGAGGTTTTCCCTGTATTCTTCAACTTGTCTTGTAAGGTCTTGTATCACTGAAGCACCACTCTGGTCTTTTAACAACAGTTCTAATTTCCCTTTGAGGTCCGCGTTTTCTCGGCTTATTTGCTTCATGGCGACTTTCTTGGCCGTCAGTTCTTCTTCCAGTTCTGTGGTTCTGTTTTTCAGTTCGTTTCTTTCGATGTTGGCAAGCACAAGACTATCGACACCTCCTTCCTGGAATATCAGAAACACATATTACGAACTGGAACTGATATGTACCTTGGTCACACGACATTGGGACATACTGATGGGATATTACATGAGCTGAAACTCTGTACGGTTGATTTACTACATGTATAAGTAGAAAGACTGGTGGCTTCTGGAAAGTATTTAGTGGATGCTATGTTGCCTACAACCTCCATCAGTGTTATACTCCAACACCATTCAACATAAATATCCTTTCTTCACGTTTTCTCTAATCAAACCCCATTTCTCAGGTCAATGTTTCCTGACCGATTTCAGTTATCTGAAACAAACTCTAAATAGAGAAAGTTGCAAGCTACATGTAATGTTACAGTATCAAGTTGAAAATCTAACAAAAATATAAAGAGGGTGTCAAGCTTATTGGAGGCGACTGCAGCTACATGTATTCATCTTACAGCAACAACACTTTTATCACAATGTTTAGAAGTTCACTAGGATGTGTGATGCGTGTTGCTTTTTTGTGCCTTTTTTCAAAGTGCCAATCCAGAAAATCAACTTAATTTRGGGTATTTGAATACAAAATATCAATAATGCTAGAGATTTTTATATGATTATGGCTGAAACAAAGTTTTAGATTTTAGACTTAAMAACAGAATGATCCAAAGTCTGTCAAGTAAAGAGACTTAACAGCAAAGTCATTTGTCAATCTATTTCTGTTTATACCAGTACCAAATTATTACAAAGTTTAAAAAAAATATAACATGACATCACTTACAATAGCATAAATATAATTCACACATCTGCCACTATCATCTAATCATTATAGTTATTTTTAGAACTTTTCCCGGTTGATAACAGATAAAGCCAAGCTTGATACTATACTTAAAAAGCCTCAAGGGTCACCTCACACAATGAGACTTAAATATTTACAATTTCTAAGACATTGTTATTAAAGTGCAGATGGTTGATGTCAATCCTACAGTTTTATATATCCACATGGAACAGAAAGACAGAGAAAGATTCTTGACAATAAAACACTGTTTAGTCAACTTATCTTTTTTTTCCCTTTTTCCAATACACTTACTCTAATTAAATTACATCTTTCATAAAACTATTATTGTGAGACTGTTATGCAATGTGTAGGYGACTTCTATACAACCAAAAACACTATTGAAACATTGCTGAAAACATCATTAAAAACCTTAATCGAAAAAATGTCTGAAGATAATTTGCTAGATGAAAAAAGTTAAAATTCAACAAGTATATAAAAGTATGAAACAATTATTGGTGGTTGATTTAACTTTGAAGGCACAAATACAAAACTATACCACTAATTTGACAAAGTTTRATAAGTTTAGTAAAATAAAGAGAATGAAGTTTAGTTAGGCAAAATGTGAACTGTTGATACAAAAAGAGGGGATGTTGTTAAGCAATACAGACAGAGAGGTGATTACATTGTTGATGTTCGCAAAGATCAGCTGTTTTAGTAACAAAGGAATTTTAGAGACCAGGGTAAACACCGACTATMATTATGCAAAACATGGGCAAATTATCATACAGTTTCCATCCTGTTTGTAAAAATACAGCATTTATTTGATTTTCAGAGTAGCATTTGAGATGGAAAAGGGTACTATATATAGCAAAACTCAGTCAGATTAATATTATAAAAATATTTGACATTTTTTTTGCAAAAACTAAAGAGTATATAATATCTTAATTCTAATGGTGGATACATGTGAAATAGTTTCTGAAGTGTGTGATAGACAACTACAAACTTAGGAAAACTATCTTTGTACCTGAGCAAACACAAGCATAACAACAATAGCAATAACTATTACCATAACTTCAAAAAGAAAACAACTTAATTAATTAGCTTGGGTATATTAAGTGGTGAAGTGACTTTATCAAATAATTYTAATGATTACCTCTGACATATATGATTCTTCTCCACTTGTGTACTCTCCACTTGTATAGCTTCCAGGCTGACCAGATAGAAATCCACCTTCTTCCTGAATGTTGAAGAAACGTTACACATGTTACTCATAGGAATCATGAACATAAACAAGTATTGTTTATACAGTAAAACAAGACAAGACGCTGTGCATTTACAGCCGTTTAAGGTTGTGACTTAGATAATCTTGGATTCCTTTTAAACATTTAACTCAGTCTAATAAAACTGATGCTAAGGTCATAATAAAACTCAGACTTGAACAAATTAAATTGTAAAAAGTCTAATTTTCAAARACAGCGTAATTATCCTTAAGATTGCATGTAGGTTTGTCTCTAGGCCAATCTGAAATCAATAGGGAACATAACTTGGAAAGATTAACTATAAGTGCTTCAGTTAATGGTAAAAGTTATGAAATTATTTGTATGATCAACATGAGGTGRCTACCTGATCAAACGGAATTGGTGATCCCTGATCTGAATGAATCGAAGGAGCATCATGATCAGTGTCAGTTTGACTTATGTCTTCAGCTTCTTTTTTYTTCTTCTTTACTTTAGCTTCGTGTTCAACAGGTTGCTGTTTCAAATTGTCTTGAAGTTGTCCATCAGAAGTGGGGCCTTCGCTTGCCTCGCTACCGCTTGCAGCAGATGTAGATTGACCGGTTTTATCTCTTTTTTTCTTCTTTTTTGTTCCATGTTTTTTCTTTTGAAACTGCAGCAGCTAAATAATCATAAGAGGAAAGTATCTTCAAAATATTCCTCGTGGCTTTGTAGTAAATCACAGAGCTGTGAAAATCAACTCGGCAAGAACAAACTTCGCGCGCTCAAACTCAATTCTAACACGTCACAACATTTCTCTATTTTACCTTTTCTTTACCAGCCTGCAGCTTTTTCTGCCTTTCAGACTCCTCATCATCCATGATTTCAGACTCAGTGGTGCTGGATTAGTACAAATCACAGCTTTGAGTCAMGATAAACGACTTTATTCCCAAAGATCAACCGCCATTCCGATCGCTTCATGATTTGTTGTGGACTGACTCCGAGACGGGTCACTGATGTCACGTGACTGCGATTTCGGGAAGTATTCGGGATCACTTCGTGGCSGGAGTTTTCCTTATGGCTGGATTAGGACCCACACACTCTTCTCAGCTTTTGATGAGCAAAGCGCTGTCTTCGTTTATAGCTCGGGCAATAATCCAGATGTTAACCCACCCTAGACTACTCCGTGCATTATGCGTTTTGAATCAGCTAGAGGTGGGACTTCAAAACCGTTCTTAATTGGGATTTTGAACACCAATGACAGGAAATGAGATTTGCTGCAAGGAAACGAATGGGAATTTGTGTTCTGATTAGAAAGATGTCATTGATACAAACAGGCGCGTACTCCAA